AATATCACCAGAAATTATTGCCGTCTTATTAAAATATGAAATTGTTGGTCAATCAGGATAAAGCTACACTCGCATTGTACCGACGGTAATCGTCATAACCACAAGGATTAGAGTGCACTTAAATAATAATTACTATTTAATACCCAGCCGCCCAGTATAATGTATAAAATACAAAAACTGTAATAATTATGAAATTAATTAATCACGTGCGTATGTAATAATAGTATAACACAAGGGAATTTATATTAGTATGTAATACCTATTGTATTTTGGTCCGGCAGTCCGTTACTAATCGTAAATATAGTTTTAAATTATTTATAAATTATATTGCACCGACATGTCACTTCAGTTGTATAAACACCAATTACTATAGAGTGCATTTACCATTGATATTGTACCCGTATCGTGGACTGTCAAGTTCGACGTATCGTAAATAATTTATGTTTTTTTTTTCAACTTATTAATACCAATGATTATAAAATATTATAGTTAATAATATAACAAAATATTTTAACCTATGGCCGTTACGATTATTTAGCGATACCGCGGCTTTTAAGCCGCCCAACTAGAAATATAATAAGTTTGTTTGTTTTGTTTCGTTTATTATAAAAATATAATATACAAAAGGAGTTCTAAAACTAAAGTATGGTTTTATTTAATTAAATTTCTCTTTAGTATTAAACATTATATTATATTATACACTTTCGTCTTTGGTGTACTATATATTATTAAGTACATTTAAATAGATTTCACTAGAATAAAACATAATTGTTTTGTGCCCCGGGCACATTATATACCAAAATCCAATTAGTAATTAGTAATTACCATTGATTAAATATACTGTATATTTAATCAATGTAATTACCAATCATTTTACAAATCGAAGTTATTCTACGGCGGTTAAATTAAATGTTTAATTGTTATGTTTATAAAAATACCTACTTCCTAGATCTTCGATAAAATAATAATATATAATAATATGTACAAATAAAATAATATAAATATCAGTAAAATGTTTAATATTATAATAGTGGTTAATGATGATTTTATCGTTGTAGCTTACTAGCATAAGCATAATACATATATAATTAATAAATAAAACATATTAGGTACATGAATAATGGTCAACTATCTCACGTCTTTGTTAAAACAGTTTAGTTTTTAAAAATGCTTAGTAACATTGAATGACCATCCTTTGTATTAATATAACATAATCAGAAGACGACAGTAAATAAATAATATTATACATTTATACTGTTCAACTGATGATCTGACGATTTCTTGTCTTCTATGGATCAATTAATAAAATCAATAAAATATAATAGTAATCAATAATCATAATATGATAATAATGTATTATCATACAATTTATACTATTGTAATTTGTAACGAGTCAACGACATCAGTTCATCAATGTTTAATGCCGAATTGGTATATTAAAAATAGTTTTTGTATTATAATATTCATTATAATTTATAGTATACATTAATTTCTTTCAGAGAACAACACAAAATATTATTTCAATGATTTCATTTTAAAAACTGTTTGATGCTAGAATACACCTTAAAATCGGTGTGTTTTGGGCCTTAATATTTTAATTTATAATATATCTATAATAGTCTAATCTGATCTGAGGAAAAATTCATAATAATAACAACTACTTAGGTCGTGTAGACAGCATTAGCACATTTACAGTTATGGTGCGTGTTACCTAAAAAAATGCCTCGAAGAGAATGATTGCAAAATGTCTGATAATCGAGTAGACAATATTTAAATTGTATATAATATTATAGTTGTAACAGCTATTATAGTGCGGCTCGTGCTAAGGAGCAACGGGCACGTTCCCCTCCCAAAATTTCGAATAAAAAGAAAGAACTTTGATTAAATAAAAACATCAGATAATATACTTAATAATATATAAATATTATATAACATATAAATATTATATAACATATAAAATATTATTAAAGTAGTCAAGGTAAGGGACCACACACGAATATATTATTAAGACAGTATTGCACACGGCATACTTGGCACAATATATTAATTACTATTAACAAGTGTCACAAGAAAAAGTTAATTTCTAAAAGTGGTAAAAGAGCCGTTGTGAATACTTACGTGGGACCTTGTAAAAGACCATGTAATCTGACTGTTTGTCTAGTATATAAAGGCTCCCCATCAGGGAGACCGGACACACTATTTCTGCGTGACAACTAGTAGACAGTATTCATGCTAGAGATATTTGTCTTTAATTGTGAACATTACTCTGAGTGTTAAAAAAGTTAAATTACTAACCTAAGACAATAAATTAATAATAATAGTTAATTTGTCTACGAGTAAATTCATTTGATTCGACCTTTGTCAACCGAACTCCATGTCTGGATCGCAACAGGAAAAATTTTGTGCCGAAACCAGGGATCTTCACATACATTGTATCAACATGACGAAGATTTCTACCCGAATCATTCAAGGGAAATCTGATCAACTTCTCAAGAATAAATTCAAAACATCTGCCGTGGACCAGCGAGTTTCTAGAAGTGTCGACATAAATTTTAATGAAAAATTCAGTAATGTACAATAGTTGGGAAGCGTAACTCATATGTCAGATAGTCCAAAAAAACGTAGTAGTTTAAATATAACGTTAGACCAGGGACTAAAATTGTGTGTAGTACGACACACTTTGTGTAGTACGAAATACTAAGTGTGGAATACGAAATTAAAAAGTGTCAGTGTGTAATGGCCTGTAATAACTACTATAGCTTTTTTTTACACTTTTTTCTTCGTTAATTGAAAAATTATTTGATGTTTAGTTGGGGAAAAGATAGATGAGAATTTTAAATATTAATAATAATTATTACGTATTATTAGGAGTCGATTTTACAAGTTTTACTTATAGATACAATATTTAAAATATTACCAAATAAAAATATTTCGAATAATCGATACAAATTACAAATAATTATCAAACAATAGTTACTGAATGTATTTACCTATATTTTTTTTTAAAAGAACCATTAACATATTTACCTATGTTGTTTCAAATCAAAAACAAAATAATGTTATTGTTAATGTTTGAACACTATATTTATTATACAATCATTTTTTTAATGATATAGCTATTCCTAAACCTTGTGTTTATTTATAATTAAATATTAACAATGTGGTAATTACATTAATTAGCTTTTAAAAAACATTTAATCAATCAATTTCATGTGATTATGTGAGTACCTAATATTGAAGTCTGGGATGTTTTTTCCTAGAATCGGGGATTTTTATTTCGCAATTCACTGTCTATAATAGGTATTGTATATAGTATTATTATAGTTCTGTGCATTTATTGCAATATTATATACCGAATTAATTATCGTACCAATATACGGACATAAATCGTTAACTTTCGATATAGTCTGTACTCTGTAGATAAAGATAAATAGAAATTGATTACTCTATGTTTATTGTTTGTGTGTATAGATTCAATACACTTTTTTGGGTGGGGTGGCAAAGCCCCTCGCGGTAACTAAAATTTTAATATAAAATGTGTTGTACGAAAAAAATTATATTTTAGTCTCTGCGTTAGACGATAGTCCTACGAATGTAGAACTATCCAAATCACAGGTTTTTGAGATTGTAGTGGGTACTCCGACAAGTGAAAAAATGTTAGGAAACAATACAGTAACGCTGGGACAACACTGTCCACAGACACCAAAATAAGGACAAACGTGATAAAGGAGAAAGCTCCAATTCGGGAAACGAAACCAGGCCGCACAGGAATAGAAAGTCCCTCTGTGGTTAAGGATTTAAGGGAAATATATGATATAAAACAAATAACGGTAGCAATGGAAAATCAACATATTAAAAGTATAGGTCCGAACATTTTATAAATAATCCAATTGAATTTTTAGTAGATACAGGTAGTAGCGTAAATATAATTAGATTATCCAAATTAATGTCGGATACAAAATTAATACCAGGTGAAACAATTTCTTTAAGAGGTATAACCATGGCCGGATTAAGAACCTATTGGGCCCCGGGCTTGAAATTTCATATGGGCCCTTTTGACAAGGCACGCTTTAAAACAAACTGGCTACGCCCGCAGGAAGATACATTTTTCTAACTATTTCATAAATGGCAATTGCATTATAAAATTATAAAATGAATAGGTAAGTATATGTAATTTATATGTCTATAAAGTATACAACCACTATTCACTAATTGTAATATAATAAAAGTAAAGACGGCAGAAGCTGATATGTACATTTTACAAACTTAGTTTTGCCGCTACATATATTTTCAAATACCTAATGACTTATCAGTTTTGGTCTTTGAATATAAATGGCACCACACACATAATAGAGACATATCATATAAAGTATGATTGAAGAAAAATTTTTTTAAAAAATGAAATATACGATTTCTAAACTATTTAAATGATATAATTGAAAAATGAACAAAATGTACATATCACTATATCAGCTTCTGCCATTTTCCACAGAGTTAATACTTCATATTTCATTAATTTAATTTCAAATTTTCATACCTACCAACTTTTAAATTTATTAACATTATACTTATTTACAATAAATATTAACTAGCAGTTATTAAATAACAGTAAAATGCGCCTTTCCTACAAAAAGGTATTTACTATTTAGTTGTTTTTGTCGATAAAAAAAAATGGTTTTTAAAATATAGAAAAACTATTCTTTAAAATCACTGAAAAATGTGTATCAGCTTAAAATTGTTTGGGCCCCTTTTATTTTGGTACTTGAAAGGGCCCCGGGGCTTCCGCCCCGGCTAGACCCCCCCTTATCCGGCCTTGGGTATAACTGTATAAGTAATAAGCTAGAAACTACCATAGGTATATAGTAGAGATACCGATTGAAATAGGAACAGAAACTTTTAAGAAAGTAAAATTTTATATAGTAAAATATGATATGCCACTTATTAAAGTAGGTATTTAAGGTAGACCGTTCCTTCAGTTACAAAATACCTGCACAATATATATGTCATACGGCTGTGGTACGCACACGTTAACATCAGGAAATCACATAAGAATACCTCCGAGGGTAGAATACATAATGGCGGTAGGTGTTGACGCCGGCACGGTTAAGGATAATGAAGTAATAACTATTCATCAGAGGGACCTGCAAGAGCAAGGGTTCTTGGGCAACGTAATAAATACAGTGAAAGACGGGCGCGTGCTAGTAAACGTCATAAACATATCTGATGAGGAAAAAATGATACGACCGGTGTCGCTAAGTAAAATAAAATATATGAAATTTATAGAGAGGAGTCAGTCATGCATATAAACACTAATAAAAACGAAAACTTGTCAAACTATTCAGAAAGGGTACAAAAATTAAAGAATGAATTACGTACCGAACATTTAAACTCGGAGGAGGCCCGCAGTGTTGAACAAGTGTGTATAGACTTTATGGACATATTTAATTTAGAAGGGGATAAGTTAACGTATACAACGTCCATAGAGCATGAGATAAGAACTCCAGGGGAGAACCTCCCATATATCAGAGACAGTATAGGTTACCACTTACCACATATAGTCAAAGGGACGAAATAACGAAACAAATAAAACAAATGGAAAGCGACAGTATAATAGAACCGAGCAGTAGTCCATGGAATAGTCCTATACTTTTAGTTCCGAAAAAAATTGACGTATCAGGAAAACCTAAATTTCGTTTGGTAGTGGATTTTCGAAAATTAAATAATATTACAGTAGATGACAAAATGCCATTACCACAAATAGATCGACTAGGAAGGTTTAAATACTTTTCTATACTCGACCTTGCTCAAGGTTTTCATCAAATTGCATTAAATAAAGAATTACGGGTTAAAAAACAGCCTTTAGTAGTGACATAGGGCATTGGCAATATAAGTTGGTAGTTAGTAGTTACCCATGGGATTAAAAAACAGTCCTCCCACTGAGTCCCACATATCAACGATTAATGAATAATGTACTTTGTAATTTAATCGGTTTAAAATGTTTAGTATATTTAGATGACATTATAATTTTTTTTTATAGGTACCTATAATAAATTACAAATTAATCATATCACAATATCCATTAGGTACTTATAACGCGTTATACAACAACAACAAACCTTGATACTATCATGAATATATAATAGTGTACTTTAGAAGTTTCAAGTACCCACTATACAATACCCATTATACAATCACAACGAAATAACTAAATTAGTTATTCTAGGTTTTTATTATGTAATTTCGTCCAAATTTGAACTTAAAATGACTATAAAAATAAACTGTGCTTCTGTATTTTTTAAATTTTTTGGTAACAGAATTAACTACTTACGTGGAATCTAGTTTTAAATTTTCAATCCTTAGATATAAAAATTGAACATTTTATAAATTTTTAACTACAAAATAATTACTCAATTTTAAATTTGATAAATTTTGTCAAAATTTGATCTTTAAATGCTTATAAAAAAAAATTGTGACCATATATTTTTAATATTTTTCAACTGATATTGTAACAATATATCAGGAGCCTTGTATTGAATTTTTACAATTTTCGGCCTAACAGATAAAACTTGGAAAAAAAACTAAACAAATTGAAAACTGAAAATGTCCGTAAACAGCTCAAAAAGGGTCAAAATTGTAGGTGTATAGGAAATGCTAATATAAATATTCAGTGAAATTTTCATGTATCTACAGTAATTCGTTTTTGAATTGCAACAAAATAAGGAAATCGTTACACAAGAAATCGAGTGAATATCCAATGTTGTAAATATTGTAGTAACCCGTCGCTCTCACTTGATTGGTTACTGCACACTTCTTTAACGACGAATGCACGTACACGTCGTCGCAATGAATCGGAGGATGGTGGTTGAAGTGAAGGTAGAGTAAGAATATTTTAACACAAAATGTAGTTAATTATAGTTTTATTGACACGAAACTAATAATATAGTTAATTTAAAGTAATGTAAAATTTGTCGACAAAATAATAATTCTACCGGAGAATAGTTGTAATTGAAATTATACTTGATGTGGACGGCAATGCGGCTGTTTCTAGTCCGCGACCCACACAAGTATTGTTAAGCACTGGTAATTACTTCTATGTCTGAGAAGTCTGTGATTTAGGAAAGGATGATTGACGTCATAGGAATGGCGTGATGTGTAGTTGATCAGTATTAACCAATGAGGCGGCAGCCTCAGTGGCCTATTTTGGTGGCGTGATGTTGTTCAGGCCACCTAACCTTTGGAACGCCGTTTTTGTGTAAAAACGTCGGTTTACTACATTCCTCCCTTGTAAGAATGATACTCCGTATCATAAAGATGAAATGGCTGGATACACGGAATATGCCGTGCTCCGTGGTATTAGGGCTTCCTGCTTGATTACGTCTCTCGGCGTATGTCCGGAACTTCCTTTGGATCCAGTAGTAGAACTAGTAGAAGCACCTCACATATGTTGCGTACACTTCTAGGATGTAAAGGATATATTTCAGGACACATGAGGAAGTCACTGACATGTTTACATTGACTTCTATCGATTTCTTCATAGGTGGAATACATTTCTTTTGATTTACTTATAGCTAAATACTTATGATTAGGTTTTACATATAAACAATTATTTTGGTCACAATTTGGTATTGGTATTAGCTGAAAAAGAGTTAATTCATGTTGGTATACTAAAAAAAAATACATTTACAATAAATACAATTTTGTCATTGGAATAATATATTGTAATGTCTGAGAGATGTATGGATTATTGGATTTGTTTTTTTATTTTTTTTCTACCGAGAAAAATAAAAATTTCGTAATTAAATCCTTATCTACGTTATTATTATTTTATACCTATTTATTATTTATAGACTTTATTAAAATTATCATAAGAATTAATATCCTTATTTTTTTTTTATATGTAATTGGTTAACTTAATATGTTTTCACCTACGATAATAATATAACAGTGATTAGTTTATGACTACTTATAACAATAAAAGAAAATTGAAGGATCCTATAGCTAAAAATATATATATATATTATGATTTATGACACTGAAGTGTTCATAAATCGGTCTCGAAATATGTTTTTTTGTATTATTTACGTGGATCCTATAGTCCTTCCTCCCCATCTTTATTGTTATATTTCCGTTGTCATCCGTAAAAATTTGTTTTTTATAAATAGTTACTGCTATATCAGTGTTTCGGAATATGTAACGGAACATCGTGCGTATGCGCTCGTAGCAGGTAAACGTAGTTAACCCTTCTAGCCTGATAGTCGATAATTGATTAATTTGTTTTTCAATACAATATATTTTAATCTCTTTAATAGCATCGTAATAATTCTCGGCGTTAATTGTCGTATAATGATTATTTTTAAGATTATAGAATATTACTAATTTGTCGGTTTGTTCAATCGAAACAAATTTATTATTATCATTAAAAATTACCTGCTGTGGTAAATCGTTATTGTTTATTACATCTCTTATCGCTGGATGCGTTATTATTTTATCATTCGAAATAGGTAAAATTATATTTTCATTATTTTGCGCGTGTCTTATACTTCCCTCTATTTCAGTTATTTTGGAATTACAAATCAGTTTAGTTTCTGCTTTTTTAAACTCTTCGAAATCGCTAATTGGCTCATCATTGGTAACAACATGTATACGTGATAAGCAATCCGCGTTCGAATGTTGTGAGCCTGCTCTATAGATTATTTCGTAATCGTATTCCTCGAGCTGTAATCGCCATCGCATTAACTGAGACGAAACGTCTTTTATATTGAATAAATACGTTAATGGACGGTGATCGGTGATTATTTTAAATTTTTTCCCGTATAAGTAAGGCCTAAAATACTTTACAGCCCATACTATCGCTAACAATTCTTTTTGTATTACGCTATAGTTTGTTTCGGCGGTATTTAAAGTTCTACTTGCGTAAGCTATGGGTTGATCTTTAGGTACGTCACCTTGAGACAAGACCGCTCCAATTGCGTATTGGCTTGCATCGGTCATGAGGTTAAAATTCCCGTTTTCCCAATTAGGGTAGATAAGTAGAGGTGGATTCATTAACGCGTTTTTTAATTCTTGGAATGCTTCTTCACACATGTCCGTCCACACGAACGGTGTGTTTTTCTTTAATAAGCTAGTAAGAGGTTTTGCTATTTTGGCAAAGTTATCAACGAATCGGCGGTAATAATTTAATAAACCTAAGAATGACTTAACGTCTTTCTCGTTTAGTGGTCTCGGATATTCTTTAATACAACTTAATTTGTTTGGATCAGGCGTTACCCCGTTTTCGCTGATCACGTGCCCTAAATATAACACCTCTTTACGTAGAAACATACATTTACTAGGTTGCAATTTCAGTTTGTGTAGTCTTAATCGCGTAAACACCTGCTCTAACCTATTCTGATGATCTACTAAACTTGACCCGTGGACTACAATGTCATCTAGATACGCCGTACATAACTCTTCCAAGCCCATTAAAATAGATTTCATGGCTCGAGTAAAAGTTGCCGGCGCAGAACTAAGTCCAAATGGTAAACGTAAAAATTCATAATGCCCTGATTTTGTAGAAAATGCTGTTTTATGGGTGTCTCCCTTATCAATCATTATTTGATGATAACCGCTGGCAAGATCAAGTGTAGAGAAGTACTTAGATGAGCCTAAGGATTCTAGTATCTCTAATATATTCGGTAAGCCGTATGCTTCATTTTCCGTAACCTCGTTTAATTTTCGGAAATCTACACATACTCGTAACTTTTGGTTACCGTTCAGATCTTTTTTCTTTTTTACTACCACTAGTGGAAAATTAAATGGTGATAACGAATTACGTATTATATTCGCGTCTTTCATTTCTTTTACTTGTTTTTCTATCTCGTCCTGATACGCGTGCGGTAGCCTATATGGACGTATGTTAATCGGTTTAACACACCTAGGTGTATTAATTTTATGCGTAACAATGTCAGTTGCACTCAAAAGATCGCCTTCGAGAAAAAATAGATCAGAAAAACGACTACACAGGTCTAATATGTTATCGCGTTCTTCGTGATTAAGATGCTCGGTATTAATAGTTTCTTTGATCCTTTTAATTCTATTCGAAGAGTAGTTGTTGCTTTCGCTAGCAATAAAAACGTTATCGTGGTACGGTTCCCATTTAAAATTACTCGTGGTTAATTGTTCGATTATAAACGGTTGTTCGGATATATTTATTATATTACTTATTATTTTATCACCTTTGACCGGACTGATACTATTAGCTATAATTACGTCTTCATTAATTTCATATTTTTTTATCGTTATTGCTTCGCAATTGATTTCTTCGTCG